TCATTAAATCATTTTTTGATTCATTGTTCATTTAACTTAAACTATAGATTTTTCACACAAGTTGTATCCAATTGTTGCTCTACCTTATATTTATTTATTTTTTAAATCCTCTTTGCTGTTTTTTTTTAATCCCCAAACATATATGATTATAACCCTAAAAGGCCTATTATTATGACTCATTATGCTCAAAATTTCATTTATTCATGTTTAAAACATTTTAAAGATATACTATTTAATTTGCTTGGGAACCTCTGACTGAAACTGAATTTTGATTTGATCTTTTATGTTTTCCACTTGCACTTATGGTTTTGCAACTTATACATATATATATATATATATATATAAATATACATATATATATATATATATATATATATATATATATATATATATATATATATATATATATATATATACACACACACTCACACACACACACACACACACACACACACACACACACACACACACACACACACACACACACATATATACACATATATACACACACATATACATATACACACATATACATATACACACGCACATATATATATATATATATATATATATATATATATATATATATATATATATATATATATATATGCATACACACACACAAACACACACACACACGCACACATGCACACACAAACACACACATATATATAGAGTGTATTATTGTGGTTCATTATGCTCTAAATTTCATTTATTCACGTAGAAACATTTGAAGGCTATGTTATTTATTTTGCTTGGGAACGTCTGACTAAAATGCAAATTTGATTTGATCTTTTGTTTGCTGCTTGCACTAATGATTTTGTTAAATGTTTTGGTTTACACTATATTTTACATATAGGTCTTCTTATTTTTGTACTAATTTTCTTGTTTGGTATAACTATTTCACTGTTTCAATGAATCATTATTTGATTCATTGTTAATTTCACTTAATCTTCTGCACAAAAGTTGCATGCAACTGATGCTCTTATATTTATTTTTAAAAATCCTCCTTACTGTTTTTATGCTGTACATTTCATTTATTCATATTTTAAACATTTGAAGGCTATGTTATGTATTTTGCTTTGGAACTTCTGACTGAAACTGAATCTAGTTTTTTATGTTTGCAGCTTGTACTAATGGCTTTGTTAAATGTTTAAGTTTACTCTATATTCATTTTGCTTATGGTTTTTGGATTTGAAAAAAATTTGGTTTTAAGCTATAGGTTTTTGGGTGGTTAATTTTTGTACTGTTTTGTTTGGTATAATTAATTCATTATTTCATTGGATCATGATTTGATTCATTGTTAATTTCACTTAATCTATAATTTATTTTTGCACACAAGTTGTATGCAATTGATACTCTACCTTATTTTTATTTAAAAAATATCCTCCTTGCTGTTTTTTCATATAATTACAACCTTAAAAGGCCTATAATTATGATTCATTATTTTTCTGTAATGTTATACAAGGTTACAGTCCTGAATCTCAAACTATTTTCCCCATATTGTACATGTTTAAGGTAATTAATTTCATAAGCATGCAATTAGTTGTGAGGCAGCCCTATAGTAATCGAGATTAAACACAATAAGCATGACAAAAACAGGAATCAAATAGATAAATAAATCAAATGACATGCAAATACACAACATAATCGTGAGCATTTAGCAAAATTCAGACATGAGGGGTGCTACGAAACGGCGAAATTGCCCCTAAAAGAGTGAATACAGATCTGTAAAAAATGAATGACACGTTGAAATAACCTCTGTGCTCTCCATTCTGTTAGCAGAGCTTGCCATTGATTAAAAAAGGTTGAAGAGGTAGAATAAAGGCTCGTACTGGCTTCCATATGGCCCAGAAGCCCTAAGGGTGCAGGCCAGCTCATCAGGCCCCAGCTCTCTCTCCTCTCACTGGGACCCCAGCTGGTGAAGAGCCCCCCATTTAAAGCTCCTTCACCGCCATCACCATAATGGAGCTTGGCTGGGCCTCAACCGCTTACCTCTGTAATTAACAGCGCCAATGCCACCACAATTACAGCCCCAGATTCCTCTCTCGGCCTCAGTGTGAATTAGAGACTGAGCTAATAGCTTGGAGGTAGAAAACGCAGCCTCCTCTTGCCCTTGGGATAGAAGACTACAAAAAGAGACTGGAATAAAACAAATAAATAAATAAAAGCTAGGTTTGCACACACAGCCGTGCATGATGATAACCCTGTAATTAGCTAACACAAAGCTCACGGTGTAATGGCAAAACACGGTATTTAAATCAAGGGCCAGATTGTAAGCATTTGATTGAGGAGAGGGTTATAAACACGATTACAGGCAGATGAAACCGATGCGTTTTTATTGCAGGAGTGTTGAATACATCATATTTGAATTAGAATACATAAATATGCTAAAATTAAAATGCCTCTTTATTAATTTGCCATGAATTAGAGTCATAAGGACTCTCTAGGTAAATCATGATGATGGCATCAAAGTTCGGCCTTGGTCAGTAATGGCAGGCTTGTCATTGAGACAAGGATACATTTTGTGCAGAATATAAATAATAAAAAAACCAGGCAAAGCGGAAATTATAATGAACAGGGCTTGTGAGTGAAGTGTAGCTGCATTTGCAAAATAAAAGAAATGGCACATTTCATTTCGCATTTTCAAAACAAGCCACTTGATACTTCTGAATTGCTACTGTTGCACAATGAGCACGCACTGATACAAACTGTGTCTTTGAATGGTGGAGATATCAGAACTAAATTTTATCAACAGATTTATTTTTCTAGTTTTAAAGGCAGAAATCACTGGCATGTCCTTTGTTTTATCAAAAGCTGTAATTTTTGCTAAATGATTTGTATTACCACTATTATATTTGAGTTTTATTAAACATTCTGCAAAATTCCTAGTACTATTGAACAACTCCTGTTCTTGTCTTAGAAAAATTTTGATCCTTCAAATGTTGGCCGCTGTATATGTTAATGATTTGGACCACTATGTCAATATGTCATCTAATATCTATTGTCCTAGTTTTTCACACACAAGTAGGCACAGCCATTAGACTCTTTTTGGCTCTAGACGTCCAGTCTCATACACTTCCATTGATTTTTAGACATTAAAAACAAATCATCATGCTGCTTCATGTTGCAAATTGATAATTTATTACTATATTATTCTATTTTTTTAAATGTACAGTCATAAACATACTTCTTTGTACACTTGTTTGTCAACTGGTATAGTTTGTTCCTCAAAACTGTCGCCACTGGCTTGCTTGGTTTGTGACTTGTAGAGCTGCTCTTTGATGGATTTGCTCTTCAGTGTTTGGACTTTTAGCAGTGAAAATTAAACCACACTGAACTGAACTGAACTGAACTGAACTAAACTAAACTTAAACTCAGAAAACTGGACTGACACAGTTTCAATTTACTTAAACTTCTATGTTAAGCTGCTTTAATACAATCTACAATGTAAAAGCGCTATAGAAATTTAGATCAATTGAATTGAATTGTAGAGTCACTTCTCCAATAGGAAATGGAATAATCAGGTGATTTAACAGATAAAAATGTACTGGTTTGTGTTTTTATATCCATTAAAAAAAAAAAAAAAAAGTAGTTTACCAAAATAAAAATTCTTTAATTATGTTTATTCATTCTCCACTCATTCCAAAACTGTTTTGGTTTCTTTCATTAAAATTATTTTTAAGAATGCTGAAACGGTAGCCATTGACTTCCGTAGTATTTGTTTTTCCTACTATGGTAGTTAATGGCTACCAGTTGCCAATATTCTTTGAAGTATCTTATTTTGTCTTCAACAGAAAACATAAATTAATAAAAGGTTTGGAACAACTTTAGAGTATTTTTTTTTAAATTACCATATTGAACTGTTGAATGTTTAGTTACTCAACACTTTATGCTATGTTAATTTAGCAAAATCAATCCGTTTGTCGTGACGTATGGAATACTGTTTCCGGGTCCAAGCTGCTATTCATTTAAATTGAGAAAACATTCATTTATGACCACTTTTTCAATCATATCACACATTAAAGGGATTTTTATATTAAATCCTGGTGTATGCAGTCTTTGGGACTGCTGCATCACAGACACCAATATTTGACAATTTATAAAAAAATGAATCACTTTCTGGCCATCGGATATTAGGCTTGGATATATGAGCAATATCACACGAGTAGCAGTTCGATATGGCTGTATATCAGCACTGGTGGGAGGCGTCCGTTGCCTTAGTGCCCCCACCAGTGCCGATATACAGCCGAATCGCACTGCGACTAGTGTGATATTGCTCATATATCCAAGCCTAATTGTGTATATAAAAACAAAATCAAATCTGGAGAGTCTCAAAAACCCTTTTGTATGAGGAACTACTTTCTTCCACCTTGGATTCAAATCATAAGCTGACAGTTAAACAGCTGAGCAAGCATCTTTTAAACTTTAGTTCTGTAGTGTCTGCTTGTTGCTGGCTGTATGTGGGCGGAGTAATACACAAAGGGTAAAGAGGCTGTATGGGTGCTGGTATTAATTAAATATATCACGGCTATCAGCCAATCAGATTCGAGAACCAAACAGAACTGTTTTATACATATATAAACTGTTTTATATATATATATATATATATATATATATATATATATATATATATATATATATATATATATATATATATATATATATACATACATATATATATATATATATATATATATATATAGCGATTATGATTTTCAAAAGTATTACATCACTTTGTAAACGTTTATTATTACAATTTGATGAGTTTTCCCATATAGTTTGATAGAGCGTTTGGACCCGGAAGCCGCTTCACGTGACGTTACACTTAACAAGTATATTTCTTAAGTCTACTGCAGACTACTGACATACTGTCAAGTTTGAATGTTCATGGACCACATTTAACTTTTCTAATCTGGTGTACCGTTTACATCTATATACCCTTAGAATCAGTCGTTATTAAGGCATCTATGAATCTATATCAATGATCCCACTCTCACCTGAGACTGTGATGTTCTCCATTGTTGAGGCTCATGGCGGATAAACTCCTGTTGTGCCCATGGGCGACTTTTCAGATGGCAGACATCAACATAAGCAGTTCCCCGTCCACCCACTTCACTGTCTATCTTAAAAAGCCATCGCTGGACTTCCATGTGCTTTGCCATCAGCTGAGCTAGACCTTCATAGAGCTGCAGCAAAAAAACATATGTATTACTGCAAAGTGAGTTTTCCATATTCTCAAATGCAAGTTTCAGATGGCTGGCACTCTGACCTTTTCCAAGGTGTATATATCCCACTTTCCTGGAGGCATGTCGACTCCTGCACTACTGAAGATTCTTTTCCCTCCAGATTTAGTGGAGTAGAGCTGGGTTACCACAGGGTCTGTGCCCAGAAGAGGAATTTGTAGCTCATCTGCCACAGCCAGGTCATCAGTGTGGGTAACACCGCTGATCATGTAGGCCTGTTTTCCCTTGATCAAATTCTTGATGCGCTTTAGAGTTCGTGGACTGTATTTCAGGAGCGAAGCTAGACATAAGTTTCGGGTCTGAAAGAGAAATATAATGCACCATTAGGAGATACAGGGACACTAAAAGGGATAGTTTATTCAGAAATGAAAATTGACTACTATTTCCTCAATTGGTTACACAGGGTAAATGCAGGAACCCTAAAATGAATTTTAATACCTTTTTAAGACTTTTTAAACACCTTCTGAGAATATTTTGAGACCTCATCACCACTTCAAGTTCTAATCAGTGTCAAACCTTTAACTTTATAAACATTTGTTAATAAACAGTTGTAGTTAAATAAATCAATGGAGCACAACCATGCAACAGAGCTCAGAAAAGCTCGGAAGAAACAAAGCTTGAAAGAATAAATTACGTGGTTGTTTTCAGCAACAGGCTTCAGCCACTGTTTAAACTCGGCTTTTTCCAAACAGGAGTACACAAACTAACATTTTCCCATTTTGTCATCTGTTTTGCTCTATGGTTTCGCTACACGTGGAGAGCATCACACCACCTTCACGTGTTTGTCGCAAATTTCATGACATCACCCGCACGGAGGAGCTTGGCCAAACACATCTCAGCCCAAACCAAGCACATGGATCATCCATTGTAGTTAATATTAGGAGGTAAATAAATATATTTATGCTTTTAAGACCTCGTAAAAACATGATTTAGAGTTTTTAATACCTTTTAAAGGCCTTACATTTCTCATAATTGATTTATCAACTGCTCATACACCCTGTTACAAACCTTTATGAGTTTCTTTATTGAAAATACTTTGAAAAAAGCTGAAAACCATTTAACAATTATAAAATGGTTTCAGTTTTTAAGTTTTTTTCAAAATATCTTCTTTTCTGTTCAGTAAGTCGAACACACTGCAAAAAAGCTTTTCTTACTAAGAGGTTGATTTTTTTTCTTGTTTCTAGTCCAAATATCTAAAAATCCTTAAATCACCATGCATTTTTAGTCAATTAAAAACATTTAACAGTTATTTCAGAAATAATATGTTAAAATTAAGGCAATATTTTCTTTTGACAAGCAAACTAGTCTGCCAATGGGGTAAGCAAAATGATGTTATTCAAAGCAAAAGCAAGACTATTTTGCTTACTCTATTGCCAAATTATTTAGCTTGTTTTAAGAAAATGTTGTCTTAATTTTGACTTACTATTTCTGAAAATAAATCAATATTTTTTACTTTACATTTTTACTTTTTAGAAAAAGCTTTGTGATTAAGGGATTTTTAGATATTTGGGGTAGAAAAAAATGTGTTTTTTTTATTATTATTTTGCTGCGCAGGTCTAAAACAAGTAAAGGGTGAGTAAATGATGACAGAATTTTCAGTTTTGGGTGAACTATCCCTTTAACCCAAAACTGAAAACTAATATTTTCGCACTTTCCATCCATTCCAAATCTGTTTGAGTTTCTTTGTTTCTGTTGAACAGTTGAACACAAATCAACATACTGTATTTTAGAAATGCTGGAAACTTCCGTGGTGTGTAAACAACATTCCATGTCCAACAATCTTTAAAATATATTTTCTGTGTTAATCAATAAAGGTTTGAGACCACTTGAGGGTGAGTAAATTAAAACAATAAGCACCAAAAAGCCATGGCTTACAGTGATTTTCTAACAGCAAAAAGGTGCTGTATACGCAGTTATAAATTCACTGCAATCCACGGCTTCACAGGACTTATTGATTTAGCTTATTGACACAGCAACACACACAGGTGTTTGGAAAGTATTTTACAACAGCTTAAAAAACAGTTCCACAAATCCAGCTTAAAAAACAGTTCTACAAACCCCCCCAAAAATGCAAAATTAATAAACTACAGAAATAAATGCCTAATTTGTAGACCTCCATAACACCCAAACATTTTGTCTCCTTTGATATTATGTTGGTTCAATTAGGTTTTATGGCAGTTAACAATAGTGTACTACACTGCAATTCAATTGATTTCATTTTAGAGAATGTGTTGAACACTACTGGTCACAGTTGTGATAGTTACCCACCTCTTATGTCTTCTAGATCTGCATAAACAAATCTGGTCATTGATATATTTTAAAATCAAAAGTATATATTTTTTTCATGTAAAAGTTACTTTTTCAATGTAACAGCTTTAAGAAATGAGAAAAAAGGCACTTTCAAAATTGTAACCAGTGATCATAAACAGTTTAACACTGTATCTTCCTAACAAAATAAGCTCTAATAAAGAGAATGCATATAACAGCAATACATTTTTGTAATGTATATTTCCTCCCAAAAGGTGAAATCTCAGCGGTCTTTGTGTACATAAATAACTGTCCTTTCTACTCCTGCTCTAAGGTCTTACCCCTCCTTTTGTCTATGGCTGTAATTTATGAACGTGCGCAAACACATTGAGCCCATTACGTACAGCCGGAGGGGTCATGACCTCTCCTGTACTCCAACACGTTAAATTGATAAAGGAGAGTCTGGGGAGGACGGCACACCTCTGCCGCCTCTTGTCTTTACTGTGTGCTTAGTGATGGGCTCCGTGGGGAAAGCACTAATTACTCCACATCTGTATGTTTGATCCAAGCAGAATTGTCCCGTCTGTCATTGGCACGCCACGCTGGCAGCAACGGCTAACAGAGATTTATCCTGCTGACACGTCTGGCAGAGTTTACACACGGAGAAGAATCGACAGGGAAGAGGCAGCGCGTGCCGCTCGTGCGCTATGCGGCAATAAATAACAGAAGGGCACTGCTAAAATGTGGAGTCAGTTAGGTCTATGCTAACTCTAGAAATTCATTTGCATAAAATAAACTTGGCTTTACTGCAAAGTATAAAGATTCAAGAATAGTTTGTACTGTCAAGTTTCTCTATCATCTTCCGGTTGCTCACTGATTTTTAAGGTAATGTTTAGCTTGAAAAAATATATACACTACCTACTAGTTTGGGGTCCGTTTTTTTCATGTTGTTATAAAAAAAATTATTCTGTTCATCAAGGCGGCATTTATTAAATGTAAAAAAAATTTAATTGTTAAATATTTATAAAAGTTTAAATATCTGCTTTCTTATTGTATGTAGTTTCAAATGAAATTATTACTTCAGTCTTTATTGCTTTTATTACTATTACCAATAGTAGTAGTAGTAATAATAATAATAATAATAATAATAATAATTCATATTTAAGTGATTTCTGAAGGATCATGTGACTCTGAAGACTGGAGTAATGAAGCTGAAAATTCATCTTTAAAATCACTGGAATAAATTATTAAATTAAATTATAAACTGCTATTGAATAGTTATTTTACAATTTGTTAGTTAATTTACAATTTGTACTGTATTTTTGATTAAATAAATGCAGCCTTGGTTAGCAGGAAGACCTTATTTTAAAACATTTAAATATTGCATAGACCCCAAACTTTTGACTGGTAGCGTATATATCTATATCTGTATTTGTCAAAAAATATATATCTATATCTTATATAGATATATATTGGATACTATATATCCAATTTACTTATTAGTACAATGGTAAATGTAGAGGAAAAGTACAAAAATGCTATGTTTTAAAAGAGAAACTTTTATTTTTAATAAATGTTGTAATAAATTTAAACAGAATGTGTTTCTGTTTTATTTATATATCAAAAAAAAAGTTTAATAGATTATTTTAGTTTTTATATAACTATATTTTAAATAAACAATTGATATTGCAAAGTTCATTTTGGTCACATTATTTATATTTCTAATTTTTATTTATTGCTTGCATGCTTGCTATGTGAAATAATAATTGTTAAAAATGTTATTAAAATGAATTGAATATATATGTGTGTGTGTGTGTGTGTGTGTGTGTGTGTGTGTGTGTGTGTATATATTATAAGTCAAAATTATTAGTCCCCTGAATCATTAGCTCCCCTGTTTATTTTTTTCCCCAATTTCTGTTTACCGGAGAGGAGTTTTTTTCAACACATTTCTAAACATAATAGTTTTAATAACTAAATTCTAATGAATGGTTTATTTTATCTTTGTCATGATGACAGTAAATAACATTTGACTAGATATTTTTCAAGACTTCTATACATTCCATTTTGCCGACCCCTGTTTAATAAAGCAACCAAGCCGAAAAGAAAATGAATATATGAAAGTGCAGTACAGATATGTAAACGCCAAAATCAAACTAATACTATCATGTGTGACTTTTATTCGCATTTTGTGACAGGATATTCCATACACACACACATAGCTGCTTAACACTATTCTCTGCATGTATCGAGTCAGTATATGACCACAGCCACACACATCTCCACCGAGTGCACACACAGTGAAATCCTGGAGACACGCACACCAGCCATTATCATCACTGATGATTTTTAAAAATTTTTTTATTAATTTGGTGTCACCACAGCGGATTGAACTGCTAACTTATCCAGAATATGTTTTACCCAGAGGAAACCCATGCTAACACAAGAAGAACATGCAAATTCCACACAGAAATGCCAACTGACCCAGCCGAGGCTTGAACCAGCAACCTTCTTGCTGTGAGGCAATTGTGCTACCCACTGCGCCACCGTGACGGTCCACTGAACACAAGTTAAAAAGTAAAATCTGTGGAAAGAAGTTCAATTTCTCATGTGAAATTGTACACAATCTCATTTCTCGTCTCATGGTGTAAGCGTCTCATCACACCCCGATATGCAGCTTGACACGTTGTGTGAAAAATCACAAATTAAAATGAAACATTTTAAAAGCAAAAGCAAAAGAATTTTTTCATAACTTGGAATCTTGTTAAATGTGTCATGTAAAAAGAGCCTCTGTTTTTTTTTGCACTAAAACCTAATAATTTATGGGAGGTCTACACAGAGTTGTAAATACACATGTCGCCTCTGTCGCCCTCTATAGGCAATAAATAAATAACATTAAATTATTCTCTAAAAATTGTTTGAAGGGAAACAAAAGTTCTGTTATAGAACACCCTGCTGTATGTGTGTGTGTGTGTGTGTGTGTGTGTGTGTGTGTGTGTGTGTGTGTGTGTGTGTGTGTGTGTGTGTGTGTGTGTGTGTGTGTGTGTGTGTGTGTGTTTCAACATACTGAAAAGTCCTCCAGTGCTTCTGGCATGAGGATGGTAAAGCGTTTGGCAGAGTGTGACTCAGTTGCAGAAGCATCACCCAGTTCAATGGCGGTCTGCAGGCCCAACAGACGAGTGTAATACTGGAGAACATCCTCTCCCAGGCGCACCGGAGACACATAGATGACCTCCACATTCTCATCTGTGTGTGACACAAACACTGCCGCATTTGCTTCCGTGTGTTTTCATGCTGCAAATTCAATTTGATTGTGTCATGATTAAACCCTTTACCTCTGATGTCACACAGTCGGCCCATCTGGGTATTCTGCAGCACATCAAATCCTCTGAGACTGAGTCGTCGAGGCTGGGAATATCCTATCAAACAAACCAAAGGGAGATTTTAAAGGGACAGTTCACCTAAACTTTACTCACCATTGACTTGTTTCAAAAGTAGATTTTTGTTTTGTTCTGTTGAACACAAAATCAGATAGTTTAAAGAATGTAGGAAACTGGTAAGCATTGACTATTATAGTATTGCTTTTTTCCCCACATTCTATAGATGCTAATGGTTACCAGTTTTCAACATTCTTCATGCTTTTTGTGTACAATAGAACAAGCTTCTTACAATAGAAAAAGCTTAAGTAAATTATGAAAGAATTTTAATTTTGGGGTAAATTAACCCCTTTAATGTTCTCCTGAAGTGATTTGAATTGTGCATTTTTTTTTCAGTGTTGAGTATGAAGAGAGGGTGGGACATCCTCTCTCATTAAAAAAAAAAATCCAATAGGGTTTAGTTTTTCTCACTTCTCTGCCAGTAAGAGATGTTGAGCTCAAGTGCATCAAATGAAAAGCATCTTAAAGGAGGCGGGCATATCAGATACTAGAGAGCTTTGATTGGTCAAGAATTGATGAGAAACTGAAGGTGAGGTGATGTAAATAATACAGTTGATTCATTTAGGTGGAAGTGACAAACTACAAGCTTTACAAGTTTATATTGGTTTTTTATTGGTTCTAAGTGTGATTTCTTTCACTGTCTTGGTGCTCACTAGCTTACACAAACAATACTGATACTAACATCTAAAACATTTTATTTTAATTTTTATGGGACCTTCAAGAGGTTAGCTCATTTCAAATTGATAATTCTGTCATCATTTACTCTCCTCTGTGTTCTATAAGAGTTTTGTTTATCTTCTGAAAACACAATTGATAATATTGTTATTAAATCTCAGACAATTTCTATCTTTACACCAAGTCTGTTCACTGTTAAATTTGTGACGTTTATACGCATTTGTAAAATTGTCAAAAATGAAATCTATATGGATCAAGTGGTTTGAAGTCTTCTGAGGAGATTTGTTTTCAAAATGGGTTTGCTGAGGTAAATGTGTAGTTTTACCTGACAAAAAAGTTGCAAGATGTTGTATTGATGTCATTCTGCAGTTGATTTACTGATTCATTTTTGAGATATTCATTCACGTTTTTATCTTGCTACAACTAAAGTAAATTATTTTGCATCCAACATGATCTCCATGCTCTCTAAATAGCATTTCTTCAATTTATAGTTGGATTTTTAAAGGGTTTTGAAGCATCAGAGTTTTCAATGTATAGACTGCCAAGAAAGTCACAGAATATTTAAGATTCCTCAAATTTGATAAAAATAATCTTGATTTGTGTTTTGAAGATGAATGATCTTCTCATGGATTTGGAATGATATGAGGGAATAAATTAGGGCTGCACGATATGGGAAAAATCTGACATTGAGAAAAATAGTTTTTGCTGCGATATACAGTTGAAATCAAAATTATTTGCCCTCCTCTGATTTTTTTCTTTTGAAAATATTTTCCAAATGATTAACATGTCCAAAAAAAACAATATATATTTTTTGATATAGATTTATATTACCGACCAAACCATAATTAAACAAAGATTTCCCTAACTATCCCAACTTACTCAGTTAACCTAATTAACCTAGTTGAGCCTTTAAATTGCAATTTAAGCTAAATGCTAGTGTCTTGAAAAAATATTTAATAAAATATAAATATAAAATAAATCAGTTATTAAAAGTGTTATGTTGAGAAATGTATTGAAAAAATCTGCTTTCTATTGATCAGAAGCTAGGAAAAAAATATACAGGTAATATACAGGGGGGCTGTATATATCAGGAGGACTAATAATTCTGACTTCAACTGTGTATTGCGACATGAAAATAATTTGTCTAAATTATTCAAATAGCTCTATTCTAAAAGATTTCATAAATTTAGATTGACTAAGGTGATCATGTTTTTCAATGCATTGCATCTGCATAAAATGTAATAAGTTATAAGCATACAGTTAAAGTCAGAGTTTCCAGAGAAACCCCTATCCAACCCATATTCCCCTTTCCTCCTTTACCAGGGAGAGCCCTCGTGAACACCTGATCTCGTACCCTCCTTACATGCTCATTGATCAGGTGGGAGCCCTGGGCTCAATTATCTCCAAGTTCAGGGTTCTCTCCCTGGACAGCATGCCAAACCTGCTATTATCATCAAGCCATATCTAAGTGCGAACTCTTGAAATAAAAGTTAAATAAACGGTGCTTTATGGTTTTCTGAAGAATCTAACAGTATCCAAATACAAAAACTGAAAAAACTAATGTAAAATAACATGATCATAATGGTATAATTTTATCCAATAATATAATAATATTTTTTAATAATATCTTTGTCTTTAAAAATGTAATAAGTAATCTAATCATGTGATGTGACTATTGCAGATACACACATTGCGATATCGATTCCCCATTTTTTTTTTCATTATGGGTGAACTAACCCAATAAATTATTGAGAGACTATATTGTAAATATGGACCAAATTCTCAAAAACATTGCAAGAAACTAATCTCTATAATGAAATGATTAAATGCATGCAAACTAACAGAGCGAGGCAATAAAAACAATAGGGTTCAACATCTTAATTATCTAAGCTCACACAGGCCTCTCCTCAGCCACCCCCAGTGCAAAAATCACACTCCATCTGCTGGTGATTACAATTCACATGCATCATCATCATCATCATCTCCAATAGCCAGCGAAAGCCTCATTGACAAGTTTTGATATATAAACGTGTTTGTTTTTTGCCCTCTCTACAGAAATACTATCTAACCAGGAGCCCTCACGGCAGATTGAAATGAATTACCCAGTGATGGGACATGGATGATAGTCCTTTTGGCGGAGGTGATGTGTTTCCAGTTGGTTGCCAGACTCTGTGAAACACACACAGCAGAGAATAAAAGAGAGTAAAAGTGATGGGTGACAGACAGCACCCAGCACGTTGGATTTATCATGTTGTCGGCCCACCGATGGCAGCAAAGGGAGGAAATGATGCTCGTCTTTCTCCCTGGGTCTCATTGAGACAAACCAAGCATAAATCACATTAATTAAATCAGCTAAGTGCATGCTTAGAAACATCTTTCCTCTATTAATTCAATTAGCAGGCTACATGAAGCTTTCTGCCAGGGGAAGATTAAGGCTTAATTAAAAGGATGTGAGTGTTTAAAGGGTGGAAACATACACAAGCTTGTGTCTCGTCTCACGGTGAGTGGCGGTGAGGATAAATGAACATGTGGGCACTAATTAAGAGACATGCGAAATTCATAAAGATGTTACAGGAATGACAGCACAGATGAAACATCTGGTCTGACAAATAGAAACTTATACGTCAGTGGTCAAGTGTTTAAGCAAGTCAGAACAAATCTCTTGTGAGTGGAACTTCTGTATTTTCTTATGCTGTGGATTTAGGAACTGCCATTCAAAAGATTGAGAAGTAAGGAAAGTCCAGACTAATTTTTTTTTTTCAGTTTTGTATCAAAAACAAAAATATTCCTAAACAAAGTTTGTGTGGAACATTTGTTTCATTCCTGTATCAATCTAGTTTTGAAAGAATCATTTAAGTCAATGATTCAACGACCAATAAGAAATCATGTGGTTCCTTCCTAAATGAATCAGCCATTTGTAACATATCATTGGAATGAATTGTTCAATGATTTAATTAATTACTGGTCATATTTGGTGAGAATAAACCAGCCAATATACTAGAACAAGAATGTTTTCAAATAGATATACAGTATTTTCGTTTGAACATTTTTGCATTTAGTTAAATATAAAATGGATTTATTTGAAATAACTTACATTTTAGATACAATCTTTTCAAATACTTTATCTGGTTTTCTCTGCCAAAGACAACAGTTTCACAGCAGAACTACTACAACACTGATGTATTTTGAACAGTGTTGAATAAAGCCTGTGTTTTAACACATATTATTGAATAAATGATTCAATAACTGAACTATAAGTGAACTAATGCAATAGTACATCCAGATTTCATTTATACTATATCAAAACAAAATAAATTCAAAAGTTGGCAACACCAAAGCTCCAAAAATGTCAATTTATTAAATTAAAAAGGCTGCGACTAAGCGTTTAACAATTCAAGCAAATAGCTCTTCATCAAACAGTGTTCATCACAATGCGTTGCTCCTTTTTGTACACTTCCAGATCACATGATCTCCCATATTATCTCACAAGAAAAATAGAGAAAATACACGTTTATAAATTAGATATTCAAAACAAAAATACAGAAAACATAACAGAATAACAAAAAATACAACTAAATACACAATAAAATATGGGCAAAAACTTTACCCAAAAACCTAATTCAACATTAAAAATTATTTTAAAAAAAAAGGACAAATATCAAACTCCTCGTTTAAACTTCTTAGAGACAAAGTATCTAGAGTGAAAATTCAAAAAGCTTCACGTTGTAACAGCAGTTTATTAAGATCTCCCTCCCGATGTGTTGTACATTTTGTTGTATTATTTTGTTATTCTGTTGTGTTTTCTTTATTTTCTGATATAATATTAGGGTTTGTTTCTGTATCTTCATTTTAAATATCTTATTAAGAATATATTTAATTTAAAATATATTTAAAATATGTTTGTTTTTTCTTATTTTTCTTGTTGTGAGATAATATGGGAGATCATGTGATCTGGAAGTGTACAAAAAGAAGCAACTTATTGTGATAAACATTGTCTGATGAAGAGCTGTGTGCTCAAAACAATGCATGCCTTTAATTTAATAAATTGGCATTTTTGGAGATTTGGTGTTGCCCCGTTTTTAATATATTTAGCACTTTTTGCGTGCTTTTGTATATTTTTTCACTATATCAAAACAACAATGTATTATTGGAACAAAAAACATGGTTCAAAACATACGCAAGTGCAGGTTGCCAGATTGATGACACCAACAACAGTGTGCATGACTGTCAAGCCAAAAGGCTGATTGAAGGCTGATATAAATCACGTTAAAATAAAAGCAATGGCAGGCAATAGAAGGAATATTTTCCATATTAAAAGGAGAACTTTATACTTTAGAAATGGCTTCTATTTCTTGCAGCTGAACAACAGGAAACTGAAAGTGATAACCTCAGGTACCCCTCATGTGCTTTATTCAATGTTAAATGCTAATATTGTGAGTTTGAATGCCATTTCACATGCCATTTTTTGCCATACTTCTGAAAGCAGCAGCAGATAGGTCACCTCAGATCTTGAAACTAAAATAAACCATTTGAAATGGAACTTTAGAATTGAAATATATTTGCTAAAATATAATTGCTGAACTGGCATTGGGTAGGTTAAATGACCAAAAAAAAAAAAAAAAAGACAGACATTCCGGCACTTAATGCACATTTTCAAAGCAGAACATCTGACTTTACCATTGTTTTTCAGATAAACAAGTATGTTCACTTAACATGTTTTTTAAAATATATGCAAACATATTATGGTATTTTTATGCCTTAGAAGAGGCGAAAACTTAGATACAGCACCCTTAAACTTACATCAAAATCAGACTCAAGAACCAGAACTAATTGTTGTATAAATGTGTATATGATTCACCTCTGCCCTGCTGTGGAAGTTTTCCAGCTGCCGAAGACGTGAGGCCTGCAGACTCTTCTTCAAATGGCACAGTTTGGCACGTTTCAGCAGAGACATGGCAATAATTTCTGCCGCCCATTTGGACCTAAGCCGGATCAGGTAGGCGGTACGGGCAGAGTAACGCCTCCAGCAGGTCTGGATGCGCACAGCCGCTGCCTGATGCCCCCCGTTGCCTTTGTAGCGCTGGCCGGGCTGACACATCAGGTCCCATACCTCATCCCTGTTCTCCAGCACCGACAGCAGCTTCTCCACATGGGTGCACCGGCCCCTGCCGTCTCTCCAGTTGAGCTCACCACTCTGCACGCAAGCTGCCAGCCTCTCCCCGCACACCCGCGCCAGTGGCACAGCAAAGTCCAACAGCATCCTCTGCAGCCGCTCAAGAGCTTCTACCATCGCACCCCAGTACAGACAATACTGCTTTTTATACCGACAGAAGTCAGCAGCATCCGGGTCAATCTGACCATCAACTATGGTGAAAGGATATTTGCTGACAACAGCTGGCACTGGAAGACTCTAAGAAGAGAGAAATGCATTTGATATTAAGGTTACAAATACATTTTAAAATGGGGTTCAGTAAAGTTTTTTTTAATGATATATACAGTTTAAGTCAGAATTATTAGACCTCCTGTGAAAGTTTAATTCTTTAGCATTTTTCTCCCCAAGTTCTGTTTAACGGCGAGAAGATTTTCAAACATTTCTAAACATAATAGTTTTAATAACTTTTATCTTTGCCATGATATTAGTGCATAATATTTTAATAGATATTTTTCAAGATAGTCTTCAGGTTAAAGTGCAATTTAATCCACTTGTTAAGTGTGACGTCACGCAAAGCGGCTTCCGGGTCCAAGCGCTCTATTCAACTGAATGGGGAGACTCATGAAATGGTAATAATAAACGGTGACAAAGCTATTTAATGTTTTCGAAAATCACGGTGGCAGTATATATGTCCATGCCTAATATCCGATGGCCAGAAAGTGATAATTTTTTTTTATAAATTGTTACATTTTTGGTATTTGTTATGCAGCAAGCCCAGAGATTGTTGTGTACACTACGATCTTATATAAAATTAACTTTAATGTGTGATAGGAATAAAACGTGATCATAAACGAATGATTTCTCCACTCAAATGAATGGCTGCTTGGACCCGAAAACAGTATACATATGTCACAAACACGTCACCACTTAACAAGCGGATGGTTTAACTAGGTTAATTAGGCAAGTTAGGGTAATTTAGTTATTGTTTAACAGTTTGTTCTCTGGACAATCAAAAACAATACTGCTAATAATATTGACCTTTAATTGGTTTTTAAACAATTAAAAACTGCCTTTATTCTAACCTTCTAGCCGAAATAAAACAAATAAGACTTTCCTTTAAATTAAACCATTAAATATCACTTAAGAAATATTTGAAAAAAAAAAAAATTTCAAAGGAGTGTTAATCATTTTGATGTCAACTGTATATAAATACAGGTTTTGTATATATATTTTTTTAATTTTTTTGAAGGCCACTGGCTTGCAGAAGGGAACCATTTCAAATCATTACCTATATCAGCCCTGAAGCTATTTCTGACACATTTAACATTACACCAGGGGTAAAAGGTCACTTTACATGGAAAAAGGAAATTGATTATCAGTCAGGTCTAAAGCTCTCCAGAGCAGATTGTGTGTTTATTATTTATTCACAGGCGAAATGCAACATATGAGTACCTTTGAGAACCAAACCTTTATTAGAAGTGGAATGCAAGCATAGTTACAATGGGACAAGTTGAAATCACATTCTATGAGCTGTTTTTTAACCTAAGAAAGCTGAACACACTATATGTATCTTTGCCATAAATAACTTTATTTATGTCAGTGTAAATAAGTAATACCTGTGGGTTAATTGGGCTGAGTCTGGCTAAACCTCGAGTCAGTACTCTGTTGTCAGAGCTAGCAGAAGCAGCTGAAGGTGGAGGAGCGCGAAGGAGTCTGGATTCTGCACTCTCCATTGCTGATCTTCTAAGAGCCATTCCATCTCTTCTCACATCCATCTCCTGCTTATAAACCTTTTTTGACTCATCTATCAACAGATAAGAAGTTTTGTGTTTAATAGAAGTCTTACAGTATAGTAGTAATTTTATTCAAATTCAGCTATGTAGATATAAAACTATATAAAAGCAGATGCCATAAAACCGTCCACTTGTACAAAGGGAAGAGGAAAAAAGTAAAATATATATAAAAATAGGGGCGACACGGTGGCACAGCAAGAAGGTCGCTGGTTCGAGTCTCCGCTGGGTCAGTTGGCATTTTTGTGTGGAGTTTTCATGTTCTCCCATTGCTCTCCTGGGTTTCCTCTGGGTGCTCGGGTTTCCCTCACAGTCCCCACATGTGCTATAGGTGAACTAAATTAACTATATTAGCCATAGTGTATGTGTTTGAATAAGTGTGTATGGATGTGTCCCAGTACTGGGTTGCTGCTGGAAGGGCATCCGCTGTGTAAAACATTTGCTGGATAAGTTGGTGTTTTTTAATTCCGCTGTGGCGACCCCTAATGTTTTACCAACTAATTTTAAGAGGAGCATGTGATATGATTGATCACGGCTGGCCTCTCATCCGTAATCAGCAATAATCCAATTAAACTAATTCAAACTAACAATATTTCGAAGGATTTCACCCTTCTACCTTATCTTCGTTTAGGAAGAATCCCCCCATCCACTCCATCTTCTCCTTTTCCTCCCTTTACCAGGGGGAACTCTCGAGACCTACCTGATCTTGGATCCTCTTATATGCGTATTGACCAGGCGGGAGCCCTGTGCTCAATTATCTCTGAGCTCAGGGTTCTCTCCTGAGACAGCATGCTAAACCAGCTAATAGCGCCGAACATATCTGAACATGAACTCTTGAAAGGAACTAAGCTGAAGGAAAATCTATGAATATATTAAAATAACTAAAAATCAAAAAGCTTCTATGTTTGTCAAGCAACATCACAACAATATTGGTCCAGCCTCAAATAGTATTGCCTGTTACGCTGTTAAGCCTGGCGGTTGTACCTTCCAGGAAGGGGATATCTCTAAAATATAGTGGATGGCTCAATCCATAATTTCAAAATAATCTATTTAGCAGCAGTGCTAATAGCTGATAAAGTCATTTTTGGCTGAGGGTTTAGTTGTAGAATGGAGTCATCCAAAACAAGAAAAAGTAGGGGATCCCGAGGTATGTCTACAAGTAGAAAATCCAAAAGAGTGGAGCATTTAAATTTCCAAAAAAAGAATCACCACTGAACATTCCCAAAACATATGTACTGTAAGTAGTAGTCAACTGAGGATGGGTTACAAAGGTGACAATAAGAATTAGATCTAGCTTTCATCTTGTAAGACGTTTATAAAATTTTCACTGACTACCCAAATTTAGTCTTTTTTTAACTAAGACATCTATGTTTGGACATCTATTTGCATATGCATTATGATTTTAGACATTACATATATGTTAAAGTTTACTGATATACAATTTATTCAGTGCAAAAACTTTTCCAAACACGTAAAATTACTACTGTATAAACTGTTATTTTAGTAAAAAATATAACAAAATATCACAGACTGCATAAAATGATCTTAAAACTTCATATTAATTTAGTCTTCTCCCTCAATAATGCAGACTGCAGGGAATAAATAAATAATATAAGTAGAATTATGGATACAAACAAATTGACCTTCTAACTTTAAATGTAGGCCGCAAGTGTGTAATGACATTGTGGAAACAGACTGACCCATCTTACTTTGGCCACTGTCCTCTCTCTGGAGCACATGGACAGCTTTGGGCTGTACTGGGGTTTGAACTGAAGAGAGGTCGGCTGCGGAGGGCTGCAGCTCTGAAATGTATGAAAAACAAGGCTCATTAAAATCTGTACACAAAATATTTCAGGGGTTGTGGCTGTAACATTTTACTCATCAACACAAAAAGGGCATAAATGAAACAATGTAAATTCAGAACATTCTAAATTGTATTCTACACTGTCAAGCGGCTGCACAATATATCATTTCAGCATTGATATTGCAATGCGCTTATCCGCAAAAGTCACATTGCTGTATCTGCAATGTCGATTTGGGATATAGTTGACTAGGAGCCACAATTAAAAACATAGTTTATTGTAGAGTACCGGTAATTGCAAAGTTTTACCATAAAGTTACCAAAAATATATATACTGTATATTTTTGTGTGTTTTAAGGCCTGTGAATGTGTAAGCATTTCAAGCCAGTTTTAAAGCATTTATACAGAAGAAATTGACATTTTTGTAATTTAAAAAATATTAATTATTCATGTACAGTAAACATAATGAAAATTATACTGTGTCATTTTACTTCATTATTCAAGTTGTATATTTAAATAATACTAGACTCCCAGAATACCCTAAAGCATTTATTTCATTTCTAACTTTGCTTTACTGTTTTTATCAATGCCTGTGATTGGTTTAATACATTTTATGCATATGTGCTCTACTACAAAAGCATCCTATTCAATCTAAAATCATGATTTTTTTTTGCAAATAAAGCTATTCAACCCATCTGGTAAATTTATACTAAATATGCGTAGCAAAAATATAAATATTAATACCGCAATGTCAGTTTTTTCAATATTGTACAGCTCTAATGTCATGGTTTTGATTTTGTAAGTTTTTTTTTTTTTTTAAAGAAATTAACAGTTTTATTCAGAAAGGATGCATTAAATTGATCAAAAGCAACAGTGTCAGATTTTTAACCAATGCTGTTGTCCCTTTGAATATTCTGTTTGTCAAAGAGTAATGAAATGTGGTGTCTATATAAAAAAATATTTATAGAAAATACCAAATGTTTTTTAACAACCAAAACTGCATATTTAGAATGATTTCTGAAACACTGTGTGGCAATTAAAACTAGATTAATGCTGCATAATGCGCTCAAAACAATTCTTTTAAATATTTTGTTTTAAATATTAATTCATAATTAATAAGAAATATATATATATATATTTTACCCATACAATAAAACCACTTCTCTTGTTAAGAAGTTCTTCAAAATCAGCCGGAAAAATTTATATACACATAACCTTTCTATATTATTATATAAAAAAATAAAAAAAATAAAATAAAAAAATCTTTATACCTGCAACTGCATCTTGGCATTCAGGTGGTGGTTTGGGTTGTAGATGTGCAATGGCAAAATTCCCCAAATTGGAGCCAGTGACCACTCTTTGAATCCCAATCTTGTAAAACCGATAAAAGCAAATGTTAAGTTTTCATTACATTCAATGTACAAAAGTTTTTCTAACAAATGGTTCACCTAAGCTGGAATACAAAGGGCTTCTTCATTAAGAAAAGTAAATCCATTATCATTTAATTCACTGTTCTTAATACTTTACATTCACGGTAACATTCAAATCTCACAAGCTTATTCAAATTTGATTGCAATCAGTCCAAGATTCATGTTAACTGCAAACAGAATTCTCATTATTGAATAAAATATGCCTTTAAACTTGTTTGCAGTAATGGTCATGTCTTATAAGGCAATAAAAACATTGTCCAAACATGGAGGAATTACTGAACCCTAAACGATAGCCTTGTGGTCAAAGGTTAGAGGTATTGAAAGTGACAGAACGAAGGGAATTAACCCACTGGCCTGTCTCACTGGGTCAAAAAGACCTGCCTGCAGGCACTACAGCCACCATTTACCCAATAATAGAAGAAGAGAGAAAGGGAACATACTTCACTCAATAACTTGCTCATGGAGAATGCTATTAGCTTCGGGTCAGCGATCAGATTTTTCCCTCCAAACAAAACTTTGTTGTAAAAGGCCGGGAGACGACTATCCATTAATCAGGCTGGTGGCAGCTTGTAGATGTCAAGAAATACGGTTTCTCTTTCTCTTGGTTTCCGTTGGCTGTTTCGAATCACAAGTGTGTGCACATTTGCGAGAGGGAGCATGGTGATGTTGTGTGATTACAACCAACAGATTTTCTGCATTCATTAAAATAAAGCTGGAGCTAAAATACAGGCAGTTAATGACATTGTAAACTGGCCAATAAGCCCCCTTCCCTGAAGCAATCAATCACATGCTGGCAATGCTTTCTGGATACTTTGAGCACGACTCGGTTTATTTGTCTCGCACCTTCTCTCAAGCGAACAGCTGTTTGAAATCTTTTAGAATTAAATTCCATCAGAGCAATGCCTAAAATGCTCTCACCTCCTCATTATCATATAACAGTTCATAAATCAAACAAAAGTCCTGCCACTTTCCACGATGAAATTGATTTGCTGCAATAATTAGGACTTTCCAAAGAGCAGTAAAAGGCGGTTAATATAATTCGCCGTTAATTTTTACAATCACTTCAATAAAAACAAGCATCAAAAGTCACAAATTACACCTGAGGACACATAATGTCAAAACATAAAAAGGGCAATAAAAACACGTTATCTACCGAAAATTGATAGCCTATTTAAAAAGGCAAAACTTTTTAGGTGTAGAAACACCAAACAAGCAGTTTGTGAATTAATAGCACACAAAACAGCATCGACAAAATAAAAGGTCGGTCATTTCCTCGGTGCTCATAAACATATAAAGTGAGTTTGTCAAATTGTGGGCACATGCCAGACAGCGGCCTTCTGTACTGTCCTCATCCTGCTGTTGCGGATTCTCCCCCTGATGTTCTCTGGCCTGCCTATTGTCACACCACTGAGCTCCCTGACAAACCACCAGCACCGGCCAGGTGTTTGGAAAGGTTTAGAGGCTCGCAGCTGTTTAAGTGGTACAAGAGGACATTTAAAAGAAAAGTGAAAAAAAAAAAAAACAGTGGGAGCTCCATCGGAGACTCAGCAGAGAATTAGCCGACAGCATAGTGGTATAGACACAGCAGGCAAAGCGCCAGCGAATGCCAGTTGGGTAAACCACGGCTGTCTTATTGGCATGCGGGAACAGGTACGAGTGCCTGTCCTGAGACAGCTGTAAAGCAGCAGCCCATACAACTGCAATCAGGCGGTGGCCGTCCTCCGAAGAATGCTGATGTGCCGCAATCTGCGTCTGTCTGCTTTCGGCAGCCAAGTCTCATAGCTTCTTCTCAACAACATGACAGCCTCCTCACGAGTGACAGGCAGAGGATGCAGGAGATAGAGGAAGAACCGCAGCGGAAAGCAGAAGGGGGGGAAGCAGAGCACCAAAACAAATGGTGACCTTTCGAAAGATTAATTTGTTTACCAACAGACAGATTTAGCTGTCACTGCCAAACCAGGTGACCTTCAAATCCGCATCTCCTGTTCGAAAGCAAAGTGACTGGAGTCATGTATTATTACGCGCCATTTCTTTTTGTGACAGATGCTGGCGTTAAGGCAACAGTCAGCACCGGTCGCTATATAATCAACACTATCGATAAGTCTTAATTGTAAAAGATGGGGGCTTCTATTACAAATGAACATGTAAAGGGCAATTCACATTCGAAAGACAGACACAGACTATGTGGACAATCACCAGATTACAGTTTCGTTCACATGACCTGACAAAGGTAACACCGAAAAAATCTGATGAAGTTACTCTTGATGAATAGCCATTGGTTGGTGTCTGATGGTGCAGTGTGCTGGCCGTAAAATTCAAAGGAATCAAAATAGCCTAGTGTTCAGTGGTCACCAAAGCTGATTCCTTACCATCATTCTTCAAAATATTTGGTAACACTTCATTTTAAAGGTGTCCTTGTTTCACATATTCTACGTGCTTACTATAATAAGAAGAATTATTATGCGTAATGGGCTATATGCACAGCTAGTTCAATTCAATTCATGTTTATTTCTATAGCGCTTTTACAATGTACATTGTGTCAAAGCAACTTAACATAGAAGTTAGTAAATTGAAACCATGTCAGTCCAGTTTTCAGAGTTGACGTTCAGTTTAGTTAAGTTCAGTTCAGTGTGGTTTAAATTTCACTGAAAGTCCAAACTATGAAGAGCAACTATCTGCGCAGCTCCACAAGTCCCCATCCAAGCAAGCCAGTGTCAACAGTGACGAGGCACAAACTTCACCAATTGACTAGTTAGTGTTTTTCAGCCAACAATAAATGTCCGGGGAAAGGTTTATGGGACTATTTTCAATTTCCTTTTACAACACAATGTTGTAATGCAATTAAACTACAATAATTTAAATAGACTTATGCATTCATTTAGTTGTTAAAGTTTAGTTCAAGCGTAAAACAAGACAAAAGACCGCATAAACACTAGTGCTGTCAGTAGCAGCAGCCCAGCACAGAAACTCTATTGAAAATACTGGGGTAAAATAAATATTCATATTTTGAAGACATGGTGAGGAAAATGGAATTTAATGCAGTGCTTCTTGTCTGGTCTGAGACCCACTTTATATTGTATATCTTTCAGGCAGTGATGATCACTGATTTTTAAAGAAGTCAGACCTTAATTGTGGCAATTTTTAATGGCATGACAGTTCATTATCGTTTGGGCTGGCTGACTGAAAATAAATAGTATTAATTATTATTATTTAATAGTATTCACTTGTTAAATGACTAGTTAAATTAACAAGGACACCTTAAAATATAATTATTATAATTAAAATAACTAATAATTTTTGTGTGTGCTATAGACGAAATAAACGTTTGGAACAACGTGAAAGTAAGTAAAAGATGGCAGAATATGCAATTATAGGTGCACTGATCTTTTAATATACTTTCTTGAATATCAAAGAAATAAAAGCATATCTTTCAGAAACTCACACTAGTTCTCTTTTGCAGGTGAGGAAGCTGAATCCCATAATTTTGTTGGAAAATCTCCTTGTTCCTTGGATGAAAAGGGTTATGTAGCAGACGCATGATAAATGCTGTCTTGTGCTGTTGGACAAGTTACAAAGATAGATTTAGTGAATTCAGATCTAATCTGAGATTAACAAATGTTATGACTATGAATAAAAATAAAAACCTTTTCCCCTGGAGATGGACCTGGAATCGGGCTTCTATGTGGATGTGCAATTGGTAATGCTTCGTATGGTGGTTGCCTACAAAAAAGGCTAGATATGTTGGATCTCAATTGATTTTACATAATCTACAATCATACTGTATACACATGGCCACTGTATTAGGTACATCTTGATCAACTTCTTGTTAATGCAAATATTCAATGACATGACAGCAATTAGGGTTGCACAATATATTGTTTCAGCATCAATATCACAATGAGATTATTCACAATAGTCACAACACAAGCATACCCAATGTTGAGTCGGGATTATAATTCATCATTTGGATGTGTTTTTGATGCCTGTGATTGTATAATGACCTTAAAAGCATCCAGGCATAATAAATTGTACCATTTGTAACTTTAACAGCGATTTATTTCACTGAGTTATTTTTAACATTCAGTTACTGTACTTTGATACTCCTAGACTCGGGAAACGGTAAAACACTTTTTTCAATTGTATCTTTTTCTTGATTACATGCAAAAACAGAAATGCACTGCAAATATCAGACCACAGCGGAAATGTTTTGGGGGACCCCAAAAAATATACATTGTGTATTAGATTTTATGCACTCCACTGCAGAATCACCCTAATCAATCTAATGTAAACAATTCTTTCTCAAAAGAGATATTCAAGTTATCTGGTGAAATTGTATTCATATTTAAAAAAAAATATCACAATGCTAGATTTTTCCAATATGGTGCAGCCCTATTTATATTTAAATTTATACATTCATTCATTTTCTTGTCGGCTTAATCCCTTTATTAATCCGGGGTCGCCACAGTGGAATGAAACGCCAACTTATCCAGCAGGTTTTTACGCAGCGGATGCCCTTCCAGCCGCAACCCATCTATGGGTAACATCCACACACACATTCACACACACACACACACACTACGGACAATTTAGCCTACCCAATTCAACTGTACCGCATGTCTTTGGACTGTGGGGGAAACCGGAGCACCCGGAGGAAACCCACGCAAAGGCAGGGAGAACATGCAAACTCCACACAGAAACACCAACTGAGCGAAAGTTCGAACCAGCGACCCAGCGACCTTCTTGCTGTGAGGCAACAGCACTACCTACTGCGCCACTGCCTCGGCCTTAAATTTATACATTTTTAAAAAAAAGTTAAGATAGCGATGAACATGTTTTGGTTCATGGTGCAATATGGGTATCCAATAAAACTGCTGATGAGCATAATCGCTGATACTGTAAAGAGAATTTCTGTATTTGCCTCAGTAGGGGAATTTTTGTTTAAATACCACGTAACAAGTTTCGGATGAGCAGTCTTCTTTTCAGGCTCTTCAATAGAAGGTAGAGTCAAAACCTGGTTATTGATGGTTTTCAGATAATCCTCTGCGTGTCTCTATGAACAAAAAAATTTAGAAAAACAAAATTACAAGCCATTTACAAACCAATTTTTTTTCAAGCTCCACACGTTTCATGTATGTGTATATTCCATTGCACAAATTCTAAAATAAACTGTTAAATTAAATGTAAATGATCTAATAATTTTACAAATTAAAATAAATTATTCATTCATTTTCTTTTCTTCCCTATATTGATCTGGGGTCACCACAGTGGAATGAACCGCCAACTTATCCAGCATATGTTTTACGCAGCAGATACCCTTCCAGCTGCAACCCATCTCTGGGAAACATAATAAATTATTGTTAAACTATTTTAAATACCTAAACAAACAAACAGCTATAAAATAACTATTACGGTAAATTTATCATAAAGTAATAATTTATATACCCTTATTCCATTTTCTGTCCTGATGATGGCTGCATCCAGAGCTTGAATATCCAAAATTTCTCCATTTTCTTGCACAGTAAATTGAACAATATTCTTTTTTAGCTGTCTTAAATCATCCTGGACCTAAAACACACGAACATTCAGAAAAAACATAGTCCTACACACCGCCATGAAATGTGACATAAGTTTCAAAGTCTGTAAATTTAACACTTAAACGGCTGTAGTAAAGTCTTCTGTTATATATCTGTTCTTCAGTAACTTCACATTAACTTACCTTTACTAAAATATTCCCAACTTCGTCTTTATTTTTGAGGACGCTGGCCATTTTTTCAAACGAATAATAAATGTTTAAGGGTTTTCAGGTCATTTTAAGCTTCGTTACAAGTTTTCATCAACAAAGGTCTGACCGTAACTATGGCAACATGACGCATGGTATTCTCCGTGAGGAAACACCAAAATCACATTTATTATTATGATTATTATTTCTTAATTAATCATGTAACTTATAAAGGATTTACTTGCGCTTTTCAAAGGTACACTATATTATTTATTTTATATTTTCTAAACGCGCGCAGACGCGGAAGCAAGTTGAGGTTAGAGGTGAAAGGTTTCCTTCAGGAGGTTGACAGCTGTTGCTAACGTGCTACCTTCATTGGGAGCTATTTTGAATTGTTCCAAGGCTTAAAATGGCAGATGATCAAGGAGATGAAGCACCTACCCTACCTTGTATCTTAGTCACAAGTTGTGATTCCAACTTTAAAGAAGAGGAGCTCATTAGACGTGAGTAAATAAGGAAAATGTAGCCCATACTCGTTAGCCTTGCCGCTATGCTAATGTTAGCTGTCAACAATAAGAATTTTTCCTGATATCACTTGATTACAGATCAAAACGCGTGCATCGCGTAAACGTTTTCGTTATTAATCGCATATAATACTTGATGTATTATTACATTGTGTTACGGTATTTTAAAAGTAAAAAAAATTTGATAAATCCAGCTATCAATCTAGAAATGTACACTATTCTGTACATTTCACGTAAATCATACTGATTAATGTAAAGTTGGCTTTATATTAGCACATTCTGACTTTGTCCTTAATAATATAATTTCAGAAAAGTGTTATTTACAAATTTTACATAGAGAAATCATATTAGCAGCCAATGACCATCAAAGTACAGCATTGTTCACAATCAACTAAATAGTGCTAATGTTGTTTTGGAGTCATACTTACTTGTGATTTTAGACCGAATATTTATAGTACAATAATAAACACTATAGGGACCATATCACAAGCTGTTACTGAACGAATGTGCCAATGTAAAATCAACTTTACTTCAATATCATACTGAGTTTTATTGAAGTCAGATTGTCTTTTCTACCGGTTTGTCTTGTAAATGTATTTTTTAATATATATAATACCCAGTTTTCTGATCGCAGAATACTGATAAAGCATTATCAAAGTTAACAAAATTCACTAATTTTTCAAAGGTATTATTGGTGCTTGTTATATTCTTCAACAATGTTGTAATTTACGTTTAAGTATTTTGCATTTATTTGCACGAGCTACAGTAGGTTCAAATAAAGTACCCTAAATTTCCAGACTTTTGTACCAGTACCAATATTTTTTTTTCCCAATATAAGTAGGAAAACATGTATTTTTGATGAACCTAGTGTCATTTTCTGCGAATAAATATTCAATTAGATTTCAATAGTAAAATTTTAGGCCTTAAAAACTCTTAGATTCACTGAAATATTGAGGTCTTAAATTATTTTAAACAGGTCTTAATTTTCCTATGTCTACGTAAAGCTACCCAATCTGGCCAACACCCAATCACCTATAATCCATCTCAAAACTTATTTTTTTATACATTTAAGTTTTTTATTGCAAAGAGATACAATTTACAACAGCTGTTAAACATTTTACAGCAAATTCTCCAAAATAAATTCCCAATTCAGGGAAAAAAACTAAAGCAACACATCTCCACATGATCTTCCATAATGCAAAAAGTATTTACCGAACCGGGCAATTAGAAAAGAAAATCCTTTGTGTTTAGCCCTGTGTAAGTCTAAAATTTTTATTCATAATGTTCTTAAAAGGGTCTTAAAATTCTTCAATTAGAGGAAACCTGCAGAAACCCTGTAAAAAAATAATAATAAAGTAAAAAAAAATAAAATAAATATATATATATATATATATATATATATGTTTTATTCAGCAGTCACTGAAATACTCATGGGAAAAACCTTGGTGTGTTTCGGGGGGGGGTTATTACAAGACTTTTGAACTTTTATGACTTAAACGATAGTGTTACATATGTACTATAAATGGCGTTACCATAGTTCTTTGCATACAGTATATATCTATCTGTTTTTATGTATTCATCCTTATACACAATTATTGGCTTACGTTTTACCACGTAAAGGATATAAAAGTAGTGACTCCTTGTGTCCAGTGATTCGTTGTGTCCAGCAGGCGGCAGTGTTGGACTTCAGTTAATTTACTCATTCTGCCCAAATATATATATAGATAATATAGTTTTTACTGCCAGTATTATCAAATACACACTTGGCTTTTAACAGTTTTGTCTGTGTTAATTACAGAGATTTTGAGCTCAGAATCACCACCGCAGCCTAACAGAATAGAAGAAAGAGTTTCCTGGTATCCATGGACGATCAACAACAAATACTACACCGCAAACGTCAGCCTATGTGTCGTATCAAGTACATTCGACATGAATGCTGAGGTGGCCCGGTCTATGCAAGCGTTCATCATTTATTTTGACAGCAAAACTGTGAGTGATTGCCATGTTAATCAGTTTGCGATTTAACTATTTGTGTCCTTCAATTCACCTTTTATTTGTCTTTCAGAAAGACAGCCTTAACAATGTCAACTCCTGGTTATCAGTAGTGGAGGAACTGGCTCCAGAAGTGCTGATCCTAGTGTGTGACCATGTGTGCGACAGCGATGAGGGTGTGTGTGTGGTAGCTTTTCACTCATTTATCTGCAATGTATGCATTTTCTTGTGCTAATTTTGATGTAAATATACCATTGCAGGTGTTAGCAGACAAGATGCCCAGCAATGGTGTTTGGCCCATGCGTTTGAATTAGTAGAACTTAACCCACAAGATCTACCCGATGAAGATGGTAAATAAAAAAGACAGTTTAAGCAAGATGACTTGACTATGTGCATACATGATTGAATTTAGTCTTTTTTGTTACTTTTATGTACCTCACAGATGACTTTCCAGAGTCCACTGGGGTAAAAAGAATCATCCAGGCCCTCAATGCCAACGTGTGGTCCAGCGTTGAGATGAAAGATGGTGAGGCTGTATTATTATCCTACTTTGAAATGTACACTCAGTGGCCACTTTATTAGGTACACCTAATGCTAGTACCTGTTTGGATCTGCTTTTTCTTTTGATAATTCCTTAATTCTTTGCGCAATTATTTTAACAAGGCACTGAAAACATTCCTCAGACATTCTTGTCCATATTGGTATGATAACATCACATACAGTAGTTGAGAATTTCCCAAAGCTGCTCTGAGATATTGTGACCATGGAGTTTTTTTCTTGTGTATAGTGATATCGTTGTCATGTTCAAAAAATCAGTTTGAGAGGATTTGAGCTTTGAGACATTGCATGTTGTCTATCACGAGATGTGGTCATTAAAGTATCAACATAGTCAGCAACACTTCTCTAAGAGGCTGTGGTGGACAAACAATACTCAGTTGGTACAAAAGAGCCCAATGTGTGCTGCGAAAATATCCACACTGGATGGGTCTTTCTTGCTTGTTTTTACCCAAAGCTGTATAGTTTCAAGACTCTGGATCTGGATCAGACAAACCTTGTCTTCTGTTGTCCAGTTTTGATGAGCCCATGTGAATTGTTGCATCAACTTCGTGATCCTAGCTGACATGAGGTGTTTTGCTTATGTAGCTCATCTGCTTCAAGGTCTGGTTTAGGATGTTTTCATTGATGTTTTTGGCAGGCCTTAGTTGTAAACAGTGGTTATTTCAGTTACTGTTCAGGATGTCCACAGGGTCCTAAATGTATTAAAAGTTGATAAATCAATTTAGAGGTCTTTTAGGCACTTAAAAAGTCATTTAAAAGTTTTAAATGCTATTTTACAAGGTATTAAATCTTATATCATTATGCTAAAGTGCTGTGTAGTTTATGAAATCGATAAAATCCTGCAAGATTTGAGGTCATGGTGCTTTGTTTACTGCATTAACCAAGGAAACACCGTTATTCCTGCTGTTTTAGGCACCACCTGCTGGATTAGCATTTTTATTTAATATCTATGAATAAAGTTTTAGTTTAGGATTAGATTCTTACAATCCATATTTACTAAAAATACTGTAAGTTAAAATATCAGCAATGTTACCGGTCGAAACCTAAAGTGGCAATAAGTATGAAAAGATGAAAAGTAGATAAAGGTAATGAATTTCACTCTCTTAAGCACTCTCTCATAAGCACTACCATAAAAATAAGAAGAGAAATTTTGATTTCATACTGACTTTAATCACCATTCCTCTCCATTCTGATGTTAGTAGTCTACTGTAGTTGCTGCCATGTGATTGACCGATTAGATATTGGCATATATAATTAAATATGATTTATTCCCCTCAGAACACAGTCAGGGTTTCGGGCTAATGAGCAGTCTGGTGGCTTCCCGTCACAACAACCCACGGCCCAGTCAAGAAACACTGGTTAGTCTTTTCTAATTGTGCTTCTCTTTTAAAGTGCTCCTAATAGTGCATGATCAATAAGTCTATTTACTGTGCACTTTGATCTTTCACATTCACAAACTAAAAATGTGCAATTGAACATTACTTTGTCTATTTAGTTCATCTCATTGTAAGTGATCCATTTTTTTTCTGTTATTAGTCCTCTCATTCCCCATCCAACAGTACAGATGAAGGCACTGAGAGCCAGAGGGCAGAGAATAACCAGAGTAATACAGTAGATACAGCAGTCGGTAAGTGCTTTGGTTAAGGGCAATACATTATGAATACTTATTTGGAAGGCATTTCTGTTCAATGTGTAATGAAATATCTGTCACAGATCCCATGATTGACATAGACATTCAGGAGCTGGCTAATCTTACAGCTGGAGACCCAGATGTGGAGAATTTTGAACGACTCTTTACAAAGTTGAAAGAAATGAAAGGTATAAAGACTCATTATCTAAACACTACTGTTCATTTGTTTGGATTCAGTAAGATTTGTATGTCTTTGAAATTAATTTCTTCAGTTTTTATTTAACCACATTAAAAATACAATATTATTACAATGCTACTTTACTAACGCCATTTGAGCTAGTATTTGAATGGTTTTCTAGCGTAATGCCTAAAGTGATGACAAAACAGGTGGGTTTT